AGCGCTGATCCCAAGGTCGTCCGCGTCCTGGAGACGTCCCTGCAGCTGAACAAGGGCTCTTTCGATGAGTCGCTGGTGGCCGTGCAACGAGTGCTTTGGGCCGATGCCTCAGGGGTGGAAGGGGGGTCAAATGGCATCTAGGGTTGGTATAGCATAGTTTAGGCAGGAACAGGACTTATGCAGCTTTTGGGCATCAGAGTTTAATGTCGGAGGTGGCCTTGAGCTGTATAGTACAATTTAGGCTAGGAGCAGGACTTATATAGGGTTTTGGGCATCATGGTTCAATAGCCATCGAGAACTTGCTGGCTTCATTCTCTGACTAACTTGCAGCAAGGATTTCGGGCTCAACAGCTTGATACAAAAGTTCACAGATTCCAATTTCAGGATATTTATTAGGTGTATGCTTCTTTCAACTGTCATTCTGGCCCCTCTTTGCCCTTGAGGATCGCATGGAGCAGTGGCCTCCCCGCCACTCCTTCGACCTGGTCATCGGAGCCGATGTGGTTTATCTCGAGGACGGGGGAGCACCGAAGGATTTTCAGCACGAGTACCAAAGCCTCATAAGACGTAGTTCACCTGAAGACCCAACCCAAAAGCTTGACACATTGGAATTTCAACCTGCTCCTCATCGGCCCTCCCCGAACATCCCCATAACCTCTGCCTCGAGAAGCTGAAGCTTGCCTTCCTCCCTAAACCCCCATTTTTCAGTAGTATTCCTGAGTGGTCCTCTTTACAGCTAGACCAGAATATACATAACCCACAACCCTATAAAAATATAGTAGGTCCCTTCTATCAAGTTTTCAGGATCTTCATTGGGCCTTGCTGGAGATGATGCTGAGAGTTCTGCGGCCAGGAGGCTCGCGGTTGCAGATCAGAGCTCAGATTGATTTGTGGAGCCTGGCTGGGATCTTACCATGTTGAGAGGAATACGTCGTTGTTTGTTTTGCATGGGTTCGCCGGGCTTTTGTTGAGGTTTGTTCATGGTCTTGGGCTGTCTTCTTCTGTTCAAGTTGGGATTCCGCCATCCCTGAGAGAGATTCGTCCAACCCGAGTCGTGAGGGACAGCAGTGTTTCTGCTGAGTGGGACTTTGCATTTTGCAGCCTCTAAGTGTCGAGTGGTTCAGAGCGGGGCTTTCGGGGCCAGGCTATTGGGAGAAGTCCTCCTCTGCTGCTACACCTGAATCCCTAAACCCTGTTCGTGCCAGTGTTCGACCCTGAGTCGAGGGAGCAGCGGTTTTCGGTGATTTTTTGGGCGGAGAGGAGACGACGAGCTTCATTTTAGTTGACGCTGTCAAAGTTTCATACACAGAAGGGTGGTAAACCAAAGTTTTCGTTCCATGCAGCCAGGGCTTTAACTAGTTAACTACGCTCCGGCGGCCTTTGAATTAGCGAGAGATCTTCTCCCTTTCCAAACTCTGAACCCTGCACTCTGAATCCCTCAACCCTAAACCCTGAAGTCCTAAACCCAAAGCCCCTAAATCCTAAACCCCCTACTCCCCTAAACCCCTAAACCCCTAAACCCTAAACCCTGAAGTCCTAAACCCTAAGCCTCACTGCAGGCCAGTTCCTGCTCTTCGCCTCGCGCCGAAATGGCTCGCTGGAGTCCCTGGGCCCGGTCTTCTACTTCAGAGTCCGGTTAGGGTTTAGGGTTTAGGGTTTAGGGAGGGCAATAAGACTACCTGTAGTCTCCATTGTAGTTCCTTTTTTTGGTTTAGCCAATTATACCGTAAGGATTTAAAGAGGTATCCCACAAAAAGGAACTACAATGGAGACTATAGGTAGGAACCATAGTAACAACAGTAGTTAGTAGTAGAAATATTAGCAATAATAGCAATACTACCAGCAATGCCACGAACAAAGAGTGACTGTAAAGATTGCTTTCTAGTCCACATCATTCATGTCGATCGCCAGACTTCGCAACTCCATTCCAGTTGTCTTCTAGAGGAAGGTAGTCTGCTTGTCATTTATGCAAGCCGACGACGGCTTGTTATTTTGCTCTACGTTGTGAAAAGGTTCGTTGATGTCTGTTGCGGTTATTTCTATCCGGTTTGCCACACGTGCCTATTCGCCGCCGACAGCTTGAAATCTGAATCCGGTTGTAGGAGTTTCGGAAACCAATTTGCCTATGCTCATGCCTTGCAGCCATCTGTCCGAGATATGCCTGGACTATCCTGGACAGGTGAACCTGCAATCTGTTCAATAGTCGCTACCCAAGCCCCAAAGCACTGCGGCAAAGCAACTCAGGAAGTTCCTCTCAACGGCCAAGTCGGTTTTCGCTACCGTGGAGGTGCGCTTGTGTTGTTTTAGGCTTTTCGGCGTTGGAAGTAGGTGTTGGGCCTAGGATTGCCGTCGGGGATATGGGTCGAGATAGTTCATTCGTTTTAGGCAGCAGTGTTGAGGCAGGTTCCCTGTCGCGGCTTGCAAGCCAGAAGTTTGTGTTGGATGTTGGTGTTGGACTTCTGGTGTCTGGGGATGCTTTTGTAGGACGTTCGGCTTATTGTCAATTCCTGAAGTCTCAATCTAAGCTACCCTGAATGTCCTGTTGGTGGCTGGACTTGCAAGCCCGACACACAAAATCTCCTGAACAGCCCCAGCAAAAGCCTGATAAACCCTGAGCTCGTTAAACCCCCCAAACTAGGAAGACCGCAATATAGAAGCCTCAATAAGGTGTCGTTAATAATGGTACTCCTATATTATAGCCCGAAAGCCCTACCGAGAACCATGAACCACTGTGAAGGTCCTGAGCCCAATGACTTCATGTTGAAAGCCTTGTGAAGCCCTGAACCCCAAAGCCTCAAGCAATGCCCCACGAAGGCCCTACACCCCATCCCTACGTAACACCATTGTAAAGCTTTCAAACTAGACCCCGTCTACAACCTTCAAAAGCCCCCCCCCCCCCCCCAAAAAAAAAAAAGTTAACTCCCAAGGCCCGAAGCCCCTCTGAAGGTTTCGACGGAGTACGATGCTGACGTAGAGCAGGCCATCGGCCGAAGTTCTAAGTGCACCTCGCCGGCACCTTTGTTCCGATGCCCTGCGGTGGCGCCGCCGTTTATTTAAAGGGTTTAAGTATGTAAGGACGATAAGGCCGGATAAGCGTACATGACATGTTGTTCATAGTTATTAGTTTACTTCTGTATCATGATATATAAGTCAGGACTATAACAGATATGTTATATTCGTAGTTTAGTCATTCAACTACCTCAGCCAGCCAGTTTGGAGGTTGTTGGCATGTTTCCCCGGCCTCAGGTCGGCTTTATGCCGGCGTCCATCGTTCGTTTCTCATAGCACAGCCCCCGCATACCGCTGAAATACCAAGCTCCCCCTCAGAACCCCTCTGACAGTAGGCATCAGTCACCAGAAACGTCATTCCTAAGCTGTCCTATTAGTATAGTAGGCTAAATCCGGTCCAGAATACCCCACGACGGCGCAGGCTTCCCGGTATTCGCGAAGCTGTCCGTGCCCGCGGAGGATGCAGGGATGTAGGTCTTCGACAGTTTTCTTCGCACAGCTACCACATGCACGACAAACACAGGACAGTTTTCTCCGACCGGAGAACAGGGACGCAGCTATTCCAGGACAGCCGACCGGCTACCAACAGCACCACCAACCCAGGACATTTTTGTCAGACAGGAGGACATCGAGACGCAACTATTCTAGAACCGTTTCCTTGAACCTGAAGCTTCAACTTGAAGCACCGACCAGACAACGCAGGCGGAAACACTCCAAGACAGTTTATACCAAAGGCACCACATACCCAAGAGAGGTTTCTCCGACAAGGTATGAAGACAAAGGCTGAAGGCCCAAGACGCTTTGCATCAGCACGACGAACCCTGTAATTAGATGTTTGCCAAGCATCAAACCAGCCTTTCTTCAAAAAGCCTAAACCCTTGAGAAATGCCAAATGTTTCCTAGAATCGCGGTAGAGTTCTTGTCAGCGAAACAACCCTCCTGTTAGCAAGCGTAGACAACCTAAAGCCGAAAAGCACCAAAGCCTCAAAGCCAAAAGCCCTAAGAACCTAATGCTCCCCATTGCACGACCCACTTGAAGTTGACAACAGTATCGTCACAGATTCCAATACCAAGCAATATTCGAACATACCTTAAGTTACAGGCCAGACCCTGAACATGATTTAAAAGTATATTCAGCGGTACATTTCGATATATGATATATTCCTGTCTTAAGGGATGTTGGAGGAGTCCTTGGGAACAACCTTTCTTTGCAAAGGAGGCCGAGGACACGGAGACCATTCAGGAGCTTCGCCGGCAGTTTGCCGAACGACATGCGGCGGAGCAGTTGAAGGAGCCTGGAAGAGGGAGGGGCCTGGGTTCAAGAGAGGGATTTCTATAGTTTTAGAAGGGTGTTATTGGGGTTTTAATTGTTTTCTGTGAGTTCATGAGAGGGTTCATGAGTCATTTTGTAGGTTTTGTTTTTTAATATAGAGGTTTGGGGTCGTGTGCATTTCGGGAGTCAGCGTGTTGGGCGTTGGAGGCTTTTCTGCATTCGGAGCGCGGAAGTATGGGCTTCAGGAATTGTAGAAACGTGGGGGTTGAACGCCGCATCACAACACCCTGAGTCACTGAGTCTTCGATGGTCACCCCTCGACCCTATACCCCAAAAGGTTGTGGGGCTTTCGAAGGGAAGTTCATTGCATTCGTTGCAAGGTGGAAAATCAAAGGCCTGCGAGTTCGCCAAAAATGACCCTAAACCCTATATATAAGCCCTAAACCTGAGCCCTTGGCCTTGTTGCAAAGATTGCCAGCCCCCTGCGAGGCCGAACGTTCAGAGCGTCGCCGGGCGAAGGCCGACGTCTGGCCCGGGTGATATCATTTCTCGTCCGAATGTCTCTCTTCTGGTACCTGAAATCCTAATTCCTGAACCCTAGCTCTACCCTCAACCTTAATTAAATCTTAAACCATCAACTTCTGAATCCTTAACCCCTGAACCCTGGGAACCCTGGAGCCTACCCCATAAGCCCCAAATCGACTGCCGACCACACCAGGCACAAGCAGCTCACCGCGCAAGGCCCGGCTGCAGGGATGTTGGATTTTGAGAACTGCTACTATAGGCTGGATTCTTGTTAAGGGACTTAATTTAAGCTACCACAATAGGGATCTATAGTAAATAACATGGTTTCCTTATTATGGTAATTTAGATTAAATCCCTTAACAAGACCCCAGTAGGAGTCGGAATACTACTGTTAATAATGGTATCCCCTTATGGAAACGCGATGGTTCTCTATCCAACCACACAGCTCCAGGCTTTTGCAACACGTGAATCTCCTCAGAGTATGCCCTTTCGAACTTAATCGAGCCAAGAATTCTCTGAGAGTATCCTGAACATGAGGGCTTGGATTGTCGGTGTTTGTTCATAGCGGTCCTGCTATGTCTCTAAAGTTTGCCATCGCCAGCTGACATGAAGGAGCCAATCCCTGTTGGCAAGACGTGAACGTCGACTGCAAGCGCAGGAAGAGGAGGCTGGACAGCTTGCCAGGAGGGCCTTAGGGGAACTATCAACAGGCTCTACTGCAGGATGGTTGTGATTCTGATGACTACTCTGCGTTTGGTTGGCAGAATTTTGACTTAGAGTGAGCCTTTACTTCCTTCAGAGACTTGTGAGATTGCTGCACTCCCGCGTTACCCCGTAATGTTGCTAGCAAGCTATCCGTGATGTAGCTACAAAACTTGGTTTGAGTGCAGAGAATGTGTTTAGAAGTGTTACGGCTGGATGCGGCATCAGGTGCAGAGTTTTCTGTTCCACCCCGTCTTGATTTTCGGTCTGGCTCTGCAATCTAGACTGCCCCACACCCTAAACCCTCAAGCCCCCACACCGCAAACGCTCAGCCCCAACACTGAAAGCTCGCCGCAGGCAGCGCTGCCTCCTCCTGCGCCCGAGCCCCCGGAAGCCCCGGCGCCACGGCAACCGCTTCGTCCGACAGCAGAGATCGAAGGCCTCGGGTGCGTCAAAGTGCTCGATTCTCCTTGGGAGTTAGGTTTCAGTTCTATGTAGTAATGTAGTAGAAAGCTAGTGGCCTAGTAGGAGGGTATCAAAGATACCTTGTACCTTGATGATTTTGGGTCCAAAGGCAATAGAGAAGCACCTCTCAAGGTTTCAGGCCGTTCAGGGTCAGGGTGTTTTTACGGGTTGGGTTCGGTTCCCTCAAATCAGGCCGCAAAGTTTGCCCTGCTCCTAGCATGAAGCCCGGATCCTGTCCTCGCATTTCCTGTGCAGATACATCCTTCCGCGCTCTCAGCTTCAGACTGCAACGAAGCCTTAAAGTGTTCTCACTATTATTCCTTAATCGCCCAGTATCAGTAACCTAAATAATGGGTTACAAGGTTATAAATCATACGGTTGGTAACTTATTATTTAAGTAACCGGAGCCCTAGCCTAGGGTTGCCAATGCCCGTCTTTTGGTCAACAACCTGAGTTTCATGATCCTGGAATCCTCGAGCTGGGAGAGCACTTTACCGGCAATCCTTACTGACTCACTTGGGCGCAGGACGGTCTGATTGGGGCCTCTTCGACCGGCAATGTGCCTGGGAGCCCAGCAACGCATGTTGCTGGCATTGGGCTCAAGGTATCAAACCCAAGGTGTGATACATGGTACAAGATCTTCAGAAGCGAAGCACAAAGTAAGACGGTGCGAGTGGAAGATAGTTGCCAAGTTCGTCAATTCTTGTCACATCCATCACAGTTTACTCCACGACTCTGCTGTTGAAGATGGCCTCAGCGATATTCCATAGAGAACTCCCACGCAACATGCGGACTGCTTGGAGGTTCATGGGTAGGTATAAAAGGGAATAGACATTCTCTACTATTACAATGCGTTGTAGCTACCGTTATTCTACGGATGGCCCAACTTATGACTGCCCATGAACCTCCAAGCGCAATGTCCTGAATGAGTTGGCAAGGGTTCAGGGTTCCAGTTTCTTGGCGAGCGCAATGCTTGTAAGGTGGACCACACGGATTTCAAGGAGTTTACCTACAACTGCGATGGCCACAAGGTGCGAAGCCCGTAAGATTTAAGAGCCTCCGGCTCAAGCCGCCGACCCCACAGGAGTGAGAGGAATTAAAGGACGTTACATATGATTCAAGCAGTGTTTGAGCGCAGTACAACATCGTGATAGGATGTGCGTAGGTTTATGAGGCACGCGCAGTTATGTATGTATGTATGTATGTATGTATGTATGTATACATATATGTATATATATATATAACTGTGTTCACAGTTTTGAGTTTAAGGGTTTCGGGTTTAAGGGCTTACCGTATTTCCATGTGCCCCACACTTGAGCTGCAAGATTTCAAAATTTTCATGATTGCGACGAGTATGAGACTCCGAGCGGGGGACTTGAGAACAAGACAGAGAAGTGCGCTGAACCCGAAGCCTAAAGTCTAGTTGGCATGCGGTAGCGCAGTGGTCAACATCCTCTCAAGTTCCAGCTGGTTGCCACAACCAGCACGGGTGGAGAGAGGGGTGCGCGGGATTTTGGTGTGGGACGAGGGAAAAAGGGAGTTTAACACCTCTCAACCCATCCAGCATGCCGCCAGGGTCGGGGGACACAGGCCAAGCAGCTTCTATGCCTGTAAGCCTTGACGTTCAGGGATTCTAGGGCTGAAAGGGTTGCGGCCTTGAAATTGGAGCCTACACAGCCTATGGGCAAGAGCTTAAGTGAACTTCTTCCAGGCGACACGATCCTAATCTGCCTGTGACCTAAGCTTCGGGACCCTGCAATCTTGAACCTCACAATCAGGCTATACGGTTGAAACCGAAATAATTACCAATACTATCTATTATTGGGTTCATATTATAATTATAGTATAATATACCCGCAAACCCTATTCTAATTATTCAGGCCACTATATTACCCTTTCTTCACTCGAAAGAACCCCAGATGCCCCTGCAAAGTTCCACTGCTGCAGTTGCATCTCCGCCGGACGCCTGCTTCGCCTCGGATCTCTGCCGCCGCAGAAGCCCTGACATGCTGGGTGCTTCCGTTTCGCATGATGGTTGTGTTTGTGGGTAGTTCTCTAAATTAGGGTCCCTTTTGCGGTCCCCTAATATAGTACGGCACCCTTACAAGAAGGACCCCCAAAAGGACCCTGTTTTAGAGAGCTACCGTTGTGGTTTCATAAACCGGTAATTTGTAGGGTGTTGTGGTCTCGTCGTTGCACTTGTTGTCGCTGTTTATCACGGTGAGAATCGGCAATGCTGAGAGTAGCGCCGATGAGGTGGGGGAGGGATGTCAAGAAGAAGGCCCACTGGGATTCTCAGGGTCGTCATCATCATCATCATCATCATCATCATCATCTGCTCCTTATTCTTCGCCATAATCAGATCATCATCGGTAGTGTGATCGTCATCAAGATGACCATCCGTAGCATGGTGACCAGACCGCGGCCGCCGCTGCATTTGATCCGATGACGACCTTTGCTACTAGGGTCATGGCCAATCGACGATGACCTGAGCGATCGACACGTTTAGGGTTTAGGGTTTAGGCTGTAAAGGGTTTCGGGTTTAGGGCTTCTAGGGTTTAGCGTTTCCGGCCTACTGTTAAAATCCGTGGATATCTCGATGCAACTGAGGCGCTCCGCCACCCACGATGCTTTCGCCGGCGCCGCGTCTTGGAAGTGGGCCCCAGGGCAGCATTTGAGCAGCCCTAAAGCATCAAACTTCAAAGCCCAAAACCTTAAATCTCTGAGTTCCTTGAGCATTTTTGTTTTCGTGCTGCGCCTTTGGAACAAGGTGCCGGCCAAGGCCTTCCTGGCCTGATCATTGCTGCCGCTTGGGCTATCAAGAGGCCTTGAATCCATGCCTGGCCCTTCACTGACTTCACCCCTTTCGATCGAGGGTCTTAAGCTAACACCGTTTGAAAGGGGAATGTCATACCCTGAGCCTTGTACATCCCACTATGAGATCATATGAGCTTAAAGTCGCCCTTATAGCACCTCCTACACAAGGGACGCCACCCGTCAACATACTAA